CACCCAGGGACACCCCCTGGCACGAAGCCCCAGGGGCTGCACGTGGCCCCAGTCCCCAGGGAGGGGCAGGGAGAGGCTGGGGGAGGATCTGAGGTGGCACCTCCACCCCCAGAACCCCAAAAATAGGGTGGGTGACAAAACCAGCTGCCGCCAGAGAGTGGTGACAGGGCAGTGGGGGAAGCCCAAACCCACTGGGAGCTGATTGTCACCAGCCACCCACAGCATCACCAAGGGTGTCACCACATGTGACGTCTAAATGAGAGCAAAGAGGTGCCCCGCTCCTGCCAGAGGAGAAGCCCCCAAATGTGGGGCTGGCTGGGGGGCACGCAGGGGCACCCTGGCTCTGGCAGCTCCCTGCGTGCTGCTGTGGCACTGCCACAGGAGAGGGGGCTGTGACAGCACCTAAAAGACAAGGACACGTCAGGGGGGTGGGAGGGGGCACAGCCCCTCATCCCACTGAGCTCAGGCAGCACTGAGGGAGCCCCCATTTTCCTCTGGGTTTCACCTGAAGTGAGGGAATCCCAGCCAGCCTGTGCCCCACCTTGTCCCCAGCTGCCACTCTGCCACCTCCATCCCATGACCCCAACACTCACGAGTGCCACCCCTTCCCCATCAGGGTGTCACAGGGTTTGGGGAGGGCGTAAAGGGACCCCTCTGACTTTTGCCCCCCCCGCCCAGACTGAGCACTCATTCTGGGGTAAACACCAGCGAGGCCAAGGCCAGGCCTGCAGGACTCATCTATGGACTGAGTTGGGCAGGTCTCAGTGCACTGGGTGTGGGGTTCCCCTACCTGTGTGCTCCCCCCAGTTCCTCCCAGTATGGGGTGACCAGCACCCCTAACTGGCCCCACAGCAGCACGAGACCCCCAGGCTCCTGCCCTGACCCCCCCCCAGCATCACCATGCCCATGGGGGGCTGGGGCTTGGGGTGTAATTTGAGGGGGGTATTTAGGGGTTCACAGACTGGGGGATTCGGGGTGTATGGGGTCTCTTTGAGGGAGTGGGAATGTAGGGATGCTTGAGGAGAGATGATGTTTGGGATTGGGGAGGGTTTGGGTTGCGGACTGGAAATCGGGAGGGTTGGGGAGTGATGTGGGGTGTTTGGGGGGCTCACATGGGGCGTGTTTCGGG